GCATTGTGAAAAACAATGTCTCCTTTACACCACTCTGGCAGGGTAAAGGAGCTTTAAAACTTTTACACCTGTTTTATGCTTCTGAGGAGATTCATTAACACCAATGGAAACAACTAAGCAGGCAGGCTGCTACATTATTACTCCTGGGGGAATTTTGTGCTCTCCTCCCCCCCCCCCCCCAAATTCTGCAACAAAAAATTAAAATTAAAAATTCTGTGCACAATATTTTAAAATTCTGCATATTTTATTTGTCAAAATAACACAATATAATCACACCAGTTTCAATTATTTTTGGTAATTTATTTCAAAATATCTGTCAACAAGTATTTCTGTAACAATTCATAGAAAAGATTCAGAAAATGTGTTTTGACAAATAGATGCCTTAGTAGGCATATTAATACAGAACCCTGAGCAATAATTCATTTAAACTACAATACAAAACTGTATTTCCTGCACCCCTCAGAAGCAGTGCAAGGGATTGGTGGAGTCAGGGGTAGCTGAGGAAGAGGGAAGTAATTACTCTGAAGGAGCCTGGGTTTGAACTTGGAGGGTTATTGGGTATGGGTGGGGAACAGTGGGGTGTTTTTTGTGGGGTGGGAAGGGACTGTAGGGAGCTTTCTCCATGCAGACTGTGGCTGACCCCCCTAGCCTTTTCCATTCAGTCAGGCACATCTGCCCTGTCCTCATGTGTCCCTGCACCACCCCCACCCCCATGTGTCTCTGTTCCCCCTACTCAGCCACTCCCCTGTCCCTATGTAGTCCTGCATCCCCTCCCTGTGTCCCCATGTGTCTGTGCCCCCACTCAGCCACCCTCCTTCCCGTTGTAGTGCTGCACCCTCTTCCCCTCTGCTCATGTGGCCCTGCACCTCATTCCCACCTGTGGTCCTGTGCCTCCAATCCCATTCAGCCCCTGCCTCAGTATGTCCTCCCCCACTAGCCCTTAATGAGCCCCTGTCTGATCCCCCAGCAGCCCAATGCTGTCTGTCCCCCTCATCGTTCTTCTCTCCTGACCGGGCCCGCTGCGAAGAAGGCTCTGCATGCTTTTTCTTGTCCCTAGCTGTCTGGGAGCTGCTGCTCTGTTCTAGCGCCACAGCACCCTCTGGTCGCCAAAAGGCAGAACTGCAGCAACATTCTAGCAGACGCTTTTTTCTGTACAAAAAACTAAAAATACGTGTGGCTCATTAATTATGCGCAGTCGTGCAGAATTCCCCCAGGAGTACATTATGCTCTGCCTGAGGTGACAAAGCCTGCCTCACACCTACCTCCAAACATCCTAAAGCCCTGCCCCTCCATGCTGGGCATGTCATAATACCGAGCTAGAGGGACAGTGTCTGTCTGTCTGTCTGTCTGTCTGTCTCTCTCATTTGCTTGCATGCATACACGCCCAGCCCTGTCCCCCCGGCAGTGATTGACGTGTCCCCCGGATGCATGCACAGTCCCCCCTGCCCCTGCACTGATTTATGTCTGTGCCGGCTGCTGGGGAGAGGCGAGAGACCGCTCTTGCGGCTTCCCTTTGCTTCCCCTCAGAAGTCACTTTTCTCCAGGGAAAGAAAGCAATCTGCGGGGGGCATGAATTCTGTGCCCGCGCAGTGGCGTAGAATTCCTCCAGGGTAGTGTAGGGGAATATTGCAAACTTAATATCATAGTAATGCTGTTATGATACCAAGGTTCATACACGAATACATTAATAGGACAATATTTTATGGATTAAATTTGTACAGTAATAGATCTAACAATTGACTGGTAAATGCATATTGACTGAATCAAAGACAACAAGCTGAAAACTCCAAAGCTTAAACTTCTCTGGGTTTTGATACACAGGTACCAAATGATTTTCCCAGAGAGAACAGTATTTAGTACAAGCCTATTCATAAAATGTACATGTTTGGATAAAGCACTAGCTCTGCTGTACAGTGTTTCTGCAGCAGTGGATATCCTAGTCTGGTAATGTGTCTGTGTATAGATGAATGGATTAAATATATTTATATGCCATTGTGCCAGAGAAGTAACTGCCATTGTGAACAGAAGCAACTGGGCAAGGAAAAACGCAGTAGTTATGCATATAAGTTTAAATTGCAAAGGTGGTAAAATGCTATGCATCTTTCCAGTATCTTTTAAAAACACACTAAAATACATATTCCATCCTACCTAAATTCAGAAGCAATTATTGCTGCTTTTAAAAAAAAATTATTTTAAAGAGGGATAATACAACATGCCGACAGGGCTACTGCATATCCCCCATACTTGCTGCAGCTATTTAATTTTTCAGTGCCTCCAAAACCCTTAACTTAGAATATTTAAACTGCACAAAATGCCAAAGAAAACAAACCAGTGACTAAATACATAAGTTACTGGAGAAAATTGTAGCAAAAAGCTAGCACTATGCCAATAATGCATGGATCTTGATCTTGGGGAAGGAAAAGACTCCAGAGTTACTGGATCTTAGAGGATCAGATATTTCAACACTAGGACTCCCCAGTGTTACCTTTGTTGGAATCCTGAAGAATACTGATCTAAGTGCTTTCAGAACAAGGACAGATTAATCTATGCAGCAAAGCATGAGGGAAAGAGGGCATTTTTACTTGAAAATTCAGGTAATGTTTCTGGGTGCAAGGCACATTACTCAGAATAATTGAAATGCTGGGGAAGGGGGTTAGAATGAGATGGAAGTGTTTTCTGAAGGCGTTTTGAAACAGGCTAACTGTTAGTTTCACAAACACTTTCTGGGACAAGCTATTAGCAAACAAATCTCTTTTGGGAAAAAATGTGGGATGGAAGTAGAAAGGAAAGTTCAATCAGACTTAGTTATGTTAGGCTTTGTCTACATAGGTTTCAGAGTAGTAAACTTCATTGTTGTCATTTATCACCATTGCAGCTCCAGGAGCAATAGAATAGAGGACTCAGTATGTGTTTTTTTTTAAAAAGTAGCTGCATTGTTATTACCAGTGTCTAACTATGGCTACAAAATTAGGTGTTTTGATATGCACTGCAGCTTCCATCATTGCTATTGCCAGTGGAAATGCACCCGTAGTGATTGGTCAGAAAGTTTGCTAGTGTAAATTTAACATCACCTCTGGATTGGTCATCTGCGGGAATTGAATAATAGATCTAAAATATTTTGGTAATTTAAACTTACAATACAATGGATGGAGAATGGGAGTGGGGAGCATTGGAGGAAATCACCAACCCCCTTTTGTCTAATAGTAATGTAGCTAGTATTGACCCTTTACTTCTAGTTATTAGTCAACAAATATATGCAGCCATATACTCAGTGTTACATCATAGGCAACTGAAGAGCAAGTGAGGGCTGGGGAGTCAAACTCACAATTTATACTGGCTACTGATCATTTCCAGAAAGGTCAGTAGTAAACAGTTCATGGAGCACATTTTGATAGGAAATTTTTTCAGTCCAAAAATTTAGACCAGTTCTAATCACTAAAGCATTTAGTCACTAAGCATTTATAAGGCCATACTGTCCTTTACAATAAGGCTCCCTTACATCACTCTAGCAGAGTAAAGGAGCCTTAACATTTTTACAACTGTTTTATACTCCTGGGGGAATTCACTAAGAACAATTAACTAAGCAGGCAGGCTACTACATTTTGCTCTGTCTGAGGGAACAGAGCCTGCCCCACTCTTACTTCTTCAGAAACAGCTCAAAGCCCTGCCCCTCCACGCCGTGTGTGCCACAATAGCGAATGAGAGGGACAGAGTGTCTGTCTGTCTCTCTCTCTCTCTCTCTCTCTCATGCATGACTACCCTCCCCTCCCGCCCCCCCCCCCCCACCCGGCCGGTGATTTATGTCTCTATTGGCTGCTCTGGGTGCCCAAACCAACCTGCCTGCATTACTGGGCAGAGGGCGCATGACCGCTTTTGCGGCTTCCCTTTGCTTTCCTGTCAGAAGTCATTTTTCTGCGGGGAAGCAAAATCTGCAGGGGCCATGAATTCTGCACAAGCGCAGTGATGCAGAATTCCCCCAGGAGTAATAGACTATTCAGCTGAAGAACCACATGTGTTAGGTTAGAGATAGTACTCACATGTCTATTCTCTAGCCCAGTGGTCCCCAAACTTTTGAGGGTCACAGCCCCCACCCTGTCTGCATCCCAGCGTGGCTGGGAGCAGGGCTGTGGCTTGTGGGGAGAAGGTGACGCGGACAGGGGTAAGGGGGCTGGGGATAGGTCTGGAGCCAGGAGCGGGGCTAGGGACTGAGCCGTGGCCGGGGGCTAAGCCTGGGGGTGAGAGTGGAGTTGCAACCTGGCTATAGTGAGGGCCGACAGCCAGGCCTGGGGCCATGTGCGGAGCTGCACCAAGGCTGGAGTGGGGCTGGGAGCCAGGACTGGAGCAGAGCTGGGGGCGAGGGAAGGGGCTGGGTGGTGTTCTCTCCCCACCCCCTGTGGGGGCTGGCCTGGGCCCCACTGCGCACCCCTCTTTCCTCCCCAAGCTTCCTCTGTGCCCTCTGGGGGACACACCCCACAGTTTGGGGACCTCTGCTCTAGCCACTAGAGGCGGGACAAAGAGCTGCAGTTACTGTGAGTTACATGGAGATAATAAAGAGTGAGCAGACTTTTAAATTTGGACTGGAGTGTCTTATGATGACCTTGCAAGGCTGATGTAGACTGCTTAAACCTTGTGGAATGCAAAGTTTATTCTTTACCTTTATTTTCTTTGCTTTTTGTAGATTTGTTACCTTTCTAATGTCTATTTTAGGAATATATAGAAAATATTCCTCATTCCTTCACCCCTTCTGTGTCTCCCCCACTCGCCCCCAGCATTCTTTTATTTTGGAGTACTTAGATCTTTGACCACAGTATTACCTCTCTACTGGAAATGTTTTTCAAACATGTAATATTTTGCAGTCTCAGTTTCACAAGTGGGACACTTTCTATCTCTTCAACCATGTTGACATTACGATCATGTACCATAGCGGGAAAGATGAAAGCTGGCCTGGAGCAAGACTGGTAATGGCAAGACTGGATCCAAAAAGGTAATTACTAGTACATGCCATTTTAATATGCTTCAGTGTCTTCAACCATGCGTAGGGAAACTAGAAATTACAGTTGAAATAAACCAATTTCAGTCTTTCTGAAGAAATGTCTGTGATCTGTTGACTATTGTAAATCTTTGAATACATTGATGCATCTTCCTTACTTTACTTCTTAAAAGTAAAAATGAATGGTGTGGAGAAAATGTATAGGGAAGTGTTATTTACTTCTTCACAGAACACAAGAACCAGGGGTCATCCAATTAAATTAATAGTCAACAAGTTTAAAACAAAAGGAAGTACTTCTTCATACGACACACAGTCACCCTGTGGAACTCATTGCCATGGGATGTTGTGAAGGCTAAAACTATAATTGGGTCCAAAAAAGAATTTAAATACGTTCATGGAGGATAGGTCCATCAATGGCTATTATCCAAGATGGTCAGGGATGCAACCCTATGCCTTGGGTTTCCCTAGGCCTCTGACTGCCAGATGCTGGGACTGGATGATAGGGGATGGATCAGTTGATGATTTCCCTATTCTGTTCATTTCCTTTGAAGCCTCTGGCATTGGCCACTATTGGAAGACAGGATAGTGGGCTAGATGGACCATTGGTCTGATCCTTTATGGCCATTCTTATGTTTAGTGGTAATAAAACTGACTCATTAGAACATTCAAAGGCCACTGTTCAATGAAGGCAATTTCTCTGGTGTACTTCAGCTTTCTCTTCATGTCAGTTTTGGCTACAGGGCTGTGGCAAGAATGTTCAATAATGGGGAGATATGTTTTCCTATTATCCTCATAATCAGAAATGGCTGAACCATGTTTGCTCTAACTTTCTAAAGCCGGGATGGGCAAACTATGGCCTGCGGACCACATCCGGCCCGTTAGACCTTTTGATCCGTCCCTCAGCTCCCCTCCTCATGCCCTCTGAACCCCTTGATCCCAACCCAGAGCCCCCTCTTGTACCCCCAACTCCTTATCCCCGGCCCCAACCCAGCGCCCGCACCCCCAGCTGGAGCCCTCACACCCCTCCCTTGTACCCCAATCCCCGGCACCCCAATCTTCTGCCCCAGCCTAGAGCCCCCTCCCGCCCTCTGAACCCCTCGGTCCTAGCCTGGAGCCCCCTTCCGCCCTCGGTCCCGGTCCCAGCCCCACCCCAGAGCCCGCACCCCCGCCCGGAGCCCCCTTCT